GAACGGTAATTTTCATCTTCTAATTCTCTTAATTTTTGTTCACGACAGGCATCTTTTATGGTAATTGATCCTTTGAACTGTTTGTCATACATTTTGAATAATGTTTCTGGCGAGTTTTTTCCAAACTGAAAAACACATGCAAAGACTGAAGTCATTAATAGATGCTAAATTACTTCCGTGCAAAGTTGTCAGTCAAGCATTGAATGCCAAAAAAATTATCAAGCAGTGCTTTAAAAATTTGAACAAATTACAAGATCTGCGAATAGTACAAATTGGAACAACACTGAACAATGGAAGCATGGGATAGTAATGGTGAAATATATGAATTATTGATTTATTAGATGTAATTCAACATTACTGATATTTTTGAGGTAGAATTTTGATAACTTTTGGAAAAATTAAAAAAAAGCTAGGTTTTTGTCAAATTTTATCATTTCGATATAAGAAATCAAATTTTGCAAACATAATATTTTAGCTGCAATTATCTTATCTTTCTTTCAGAAAATTGTAATATTCAGAAAATTAATTATTTTTTTAGAGAATGATCGAAATCCTTTAAAATATCATTGTAATTTTTCCGCTACTCACATTTATAGTTTGCATAATTTTTGTCATGTGTAAAAGCAAGTAACGAGACACAATCATTATCCCACTTAATGACATGATATCATTTTATTTTATCAACTTGTTTTTATAATCATTTTGTTGTGACTTCATTTTATTTTGACATAGATATACAATACACAAATACACATCTTTAATTATCAAATGAATTGATTACTGATAAATAAATCACGTCTACGAAGTGTCATTGATTAGATAATATTTGGTAAAATTAATTGAAAAAGGAATTGAGCAAAAATTTCAACAACAACAACAACATGCAAATCATTCAGTACAAATATTGGATTAAAGAACACAGACAGGATTGTCCAATATTGTATAAATTGTTTTGGAGCATTTCTACCATTCTATGAATCTTGTATTTTACCTTGTTCTTCATTATGTCGGTGACGCAGATCGTTTGGTGACTTTGGACAATATGAATAGTATGACAAGTGAGACGTCTACAGTTTCGAAAAACGCAGTTGCACAACAAGATGAAAGAGAGATTTGATAAATCCATCATAAAATTGTTTATTAATTCTCGGGCTTAAGTTTCTGTGTCTTTTAAGGTCGAATTTGCAAATTTCCAAACCTTTTCACTATTTTGAAGTTAAATTTTATTTTCAAATAAATATTTTTTTTAAAATGTATTTTTAAATAAGTTTTAAATGAATATTCCAAATATTTTTAGACAAGCAATCAAATCATTATGTTAAGATATAATAGCCAAAATTGATTTCGGACAGTATGAAACATTGCTCACTTTGCTTTCCAATTCAATATAGCATGTAAACAACTTTTCATTGCTCAAAAAGTAAACATCAGATGTTTCATCTATCTTTGAAATAATTGCGACACATCGGGGATGATTGTTGTTGCATAATTCCCACGTGAAAACAACAATATAAACAAATCGAAATCAAGTTAATTTTATTGGGAATAAATTGAATGCTAAGCTAATAATTGCAAAATTACTTCGAGCAAAAACATGAAAACTATTAAAATCACTTACGAAATGACTGAATGTGATGGGTTTCAAAACAATTGTCACTTAGGATCATTTGCAAGCATGCTCAAGCACGTAACAAGTTCTGTTTCGGCCTAGTCTTATTGTAATTTTCAAATAAAAAACAATTTCAGACCACCAATTTTGAAGCTAAAATAAAGCTAAAATATCAAGTCAACATAGTTTAAATTAAATTAAATTTTTTCAGTAACTGATAGTTTTTTTTGGAAGTCTTTCAATTAGTGGAATGATTACGATGCTTTATATGAAGAGTATGAGTTAAAAAATTTTTATTTTGTAAAAAGCTGAAAATACAAAGAAGGATTTTATCAAACAAGTTTGAATAAAATGAAGCAAAACAGTAACTGATATAATTATATTGGTTAAACTTTTTGCATGTAAATTTTAAAACCAGAAATTGACCATGGAAAAAATTTCATATTCTACATGAAGTTTGATGTCATCTGTTTGTTATTCATAATTTGGAAAATTTGTTTTTTGTTTATAATTCGAAAAAATCCACTGGTCATTTACACTTCTTATCGTGCTGTCTTGCGATGGTCAGAGGTTTGTTTAATCCGTTCATTCAACATTTTATTTGTACCCTTGTGAAACCTGGTTCACAAATACTTCAGTGCAATAATTTAGAATTCAAAAATTAAAG